TACAGTATTTGTCTTTTTGTGACTGGCTTATTTCACTTAGCATCATGTCCTCAAGGTTCCTCCATGTTGTAGAATGAACTTTCTTCTTTAAGGTTGAATAATGTCCCACTGTAGGTATATACCACATTTTGTTTATCTATTCTTCTGTGGATGGACACTTGGGTTGCTTCCACCTTTCGGCTATTGTGAATAATGCTACTATGAACATGAGCATACAAGCATCTTTTCAAGTCCCTGCTTTCAATTCCTTTGAGTATATACCCTAAAGTGGAATTGGTGGACTCTATGGTAATTTGATTTTAAATTTTTTGAGGCAATTCTAGATTGTTTTCTATAGCGGCTACACCATTTTACATTTCCACCAAGAGTACACAAGGGTTACAATTTCTCTATATCCTTGCCAACATTTTCTTTTCTGTTTTTTTGTTTTAGAGACAAGGTATCGCTCTGTTGCTCAGGCTGGAGTGCAGTGGCGTGATCATAGCTCACTGTAACCTCAAACTCCTGGGCCAAGCAATCCTCCTGCCTCAGCCTCCTGAGTAGCTAGGACTACAGGTGACTGGTTTTTTGATAGTAGCCATCCTAATGGTATGAGGTGGTATCTCATTCTGGTTTTGATTTGCATTTCCCTTATTAGTGATAGGCAGTCATAATTAACTCCTTTATTATGCACAGGCCAAGTTGAGAACACAGTTTAAGGGATGTACAAACACAAAGTTTTGAACAGTAATCTCTAGGCGACAGTTTCTGCCTCCCTTCTAAATAAAAGTCTGTCTCTGTGATGACATTATTATTATTATACTTTAAGTTCTGGGGTACATGTGCAGAATGTGCAGGTTTGTTACATAGGTATACATGTGCCATGGTGGTTTGCTGCACCCATCAACTTGTCATCTATATTAGGTATTTCTCCTAATGCTATCCCTCCCCCAACCTCCCACCCCCGACAGGCCCCAGTGTGTGATGCTCCCCTCCCTGTGTCCATGTGTTCTCATTTTTCAACTCTCACTTAGGAGTGAGAAGATGCAGTGTTTGATTTTCTGTTCCTGTGTTAGTTTGCTGAGAATGATGGTTTCCAGCTTCATCCATGTCTCTGGAAAGGACATGAACTGATCCTTTTTTATGGCTGCATTGTATTCCATGGTGTATATGTGCCACATTTTCCTTATCCAGTCTATCACTGATGGGCATTTGGGTTCATTCCAAGTCTTTGCCATTTCTTTTCTTTCTTTCTTTTTTTTTTTTTTTGAGACGGAGTTTCGCTCTGTTGCCCAGGCTGGAGTGCAGTGGCACCATCTTGGCTCACTGCAAGCTCCGCCTCCTGGGTTCACGCCATTCTCCTGCCTCAGCCTCCTGAGTAGCTGGGACTGCAGGCGCCCGCCACCACGCCTGGCTAATTTTTTGTATTTTTAGTAGAGACGGGGTTTCACCCTGTTAGCCAGGATGGTCTCGATCTCCTGACCTCGTGATCCGCCTGCCTCAGCCTCTCAAAGTGCTGGGATTACAGGCGTGAGCCACCGTGCCCGGCCTTGCCATTTCTTTAAGAATGTTGAATATTGTCCCCACTCTCTTCTGGCTTGTAGGGTTTCTGCTGAGAGATCCGCTGTTAGTCTGATGGGCTTCCCTTTGTGGGTAACCCGACCTTTCTCCTGGCTGTCCTTAACATTTTTTTCTTCATTTCAACCTTGGTGAATCTGACAATTATGTGTCTTGAGGTTGCTCTTCTTGAGGAATATCTTTGTGGTGTTCTCTGTATTTCCTGAATTTGAATGTTGGTCTTGGTAGGTTGGGGAAGTTCTCCTGGATAATATCCTGAAGAGTGTTTTCCAGCTTGGTTCCAGTCTCCCTGTCACTTTCAGGTACACCAATCAAATATAGATTTGGTCTTTTCACATAGTCCCATATTTCTTGGAGGCTTTGTTCGTTTCTTTTCACTCCTTTTTTCTCTAATCATGTCTTCTCGCTTTATGTCATTGAGTTGATCTTCCATCTCTGATATCCTTTCTTCTGCTTGATTGATTGGGCTATTGATATTTGTGTATGCTTCACAAAGTTCTTGTGCTGTGTTTTTCAGCTCCATCAGGTCATTTATGTTCTTCTCTAAGCTGGTGATTCCAGTTAGCAATTCGTCTTTTTTTCCAGGTTCTTAGCTTCCTTGCATTGGGTTAGAACACGCTCCTTTAGCTCGGAGGAGTTTGTTATTACCCACCTTCTGAAGCCTACTTCTGTCAATTCATCAAACTCATTCTCCATCCAGTTTTGTTCCCTTGCTGGCGAGGAGTTGTGATCCTTTGGAAGAGAAGAGGTTCTGGTTTTTGGAGTTTTCAGCCTTTTTGCGCTGGTTTCTCCCTATCTTCGTGGATTTATCTACCTTTGGTCTTTGATGTTGGTGATGTTAATACTATTCCTTTCTGTTTGTTAGTTTTCCTTCTAACAGTCAGGCCCCTCTGCTACAGGTCTGCTGGAGTTTGCTGGAGGTCCACTCCACACCCTGCTTGCCTGGGTATCACCCGTGGAGGCTCAGTTGGAAATGCAGGAATCACCTTCCTTCTGCGTTGATCTCGCTGGGAGCTGCAGACTGGAGCTGTTCCTATTTCGCCATCTTGCCAGCTACCTCCCTCTGTGATGATTGAGTGTCAACTTGATTGGATTGAAGGATGCAAAGTATTGTTCCCGGGTGTGTCTGTGAGGGTGTTGCCAACAATACCCTCCATTTGAGTCAGTGGACTGGGAGAGGCAGACCCACCCTCAATCTTGGTGGGCACCATTTAATCTGCTGCCAGCCTGGCTAGAATAAAGCAGGCAGAAGAACGTGGAAGGACGTCACTTCCTGAGTCTTCTGGCCTTCATCTTTCTCCTGTGCTGGATGCTTCCTGCCCTGGAACATTGGACTTGGTTCTTCAGCTTTTAGACTCTTGGACTTTGGCCACATTGAAGGCTGCACTGTTGGCTTCCCAACTTTTGAGGTTTTGGGACATGGGCTGACTTCCTTGCTCCTCAGCTTGCAGATGGTCTATTGTGGGACTTCATCTTTTGATCGTGTGAGTCAATATTCCTTAATAAACTCCCCCTCCCCTTTTTTTTTGAGATGGAGTCTTGCTCTGCTGCCCAGGCTGGAGTGCAGTGGCTCGATCTCGGCTCACTGCAATCTCCGCCTCCCGGGTTCAAGTGATTCTCCTGCCTCAGCCTCCCGAGTAGCTGGGATTACAGGTGCATGCCACACCACCATGCCCGGCTAATTTTTGTATTTTTAGTAGAGACAGGGTTTCATGTTGGCCAGGCTGGTGTTGAACTCCTGGCCTCAAAGTGATCTACCCACCTGGGCCTCCCAAAGTGCTGGGATTATAGGTGTGAGCTACTGTGCCCAGCCTAAACTCCCCTTCATATACACATCTATCCTATTAGTTCTGTTCCTCTACAGAACCCTAATATACAGTGTCCCCACCTAAATTCTACATTCACAGATTAAAGGTAGATTAAACTCCTTCCTCTTTAGGAAGTCTGCTCAGCTCCTCTAGGGAAGTATCTCTCTCATTAGGACTCTTCTCTAAGCAATCTAGATGTCAGGAAGCAAACCTAGTGAGCACGAACTACAGCAGGGGTGTCCAATCTTTTGGTTTCCCTGGGCCACATTGGAAGAATTGTCTTGGGCCACCCATAAAGTACCCTAACACTAATGATAGCTGATGGGCTAAAAAATGATCAGAAAAAAACTCATAATGTTTTAATTAAGTTTATGAATTTGTGTTTGGCTGCATTCAAAGCCATCTTGGGTTGCATGCGGCCCATGGGCTGCGGGTTGGATAAGCTTGAACTACAGTATGGTTTCAAGGGAGTAATTTGCATCTACACTTGAAATGTAATCCATAGGGAATTTGCAGCTAAATAGGAAACCTGTAGGCACGACCCTGGAATAAACTTTAGTAAATTGCTTCACTTTTCTATGGCAGGTTTCTTCAGCAGTCAAAATGAAGGGGCTGATTTAAATGGTACCTAAGGTCCTTTTGGCTTTGACTTTCTGTTGTAACAGCATACTATTATAGTTGCTGACCCCATTCTTGCTCAGAATTGGGCTGAACCCATGTAAATCAAGACCTCGAGGCTGGGCACGGCGGTTCACGCCTGTAATCCCAGCACAAGACAGGTGGATCACCTGAGGTCAGGAGTTTGAGACCAGGCTTGTTAACGTGGTAAAACCCTGTCTATACTAAAAATACAAGAATTAGCCAGGTGTGGGGTGGCATTTGCCCGTAGTCCCAGCTACTCGGGAGGCTGAGACATGAGAATCGCTTGGACTCGGGAGGTGGAGGCTGCAGTGAGCCAAGATTGCCCCACTGCACTTCAGCCTGGGCGACAATGCAAGACTCTGTCTCAAAAAAAAAAAAAAAAAAATTCTTATTAACATATTGGTTCCAATATGGTTTGGATCTTTGTCCCCACCCAAATCTCATGTTCAATTGTAATTCCCAATGTTGGAGGTGGGGCCTGGTGGGAAATGACTGGATGGGGGCAGGTTTCTCATGAATGGTTTAGTACCATCCCTTTGACACTGTCCTTGCGATAGTGAGTTATCGCGAGATCTGATCATTGAAAAGTGTGTGGCAATTCCCCCAGCCTTTTTGCTCCTGCTCTGGCCATGTAATGTGCTTGCTCCCCCTTTGCCTTCCACCATGATTGTAAGTTTCCTGAGGCCTCCCCAAAAGCTGAGCAGATACCAGCATCATGCTTCCTGTACACCCTGCAGAACTGTGAGCCAATTAAATCCCTTTTCTTTATAAATTACCCAATCTCAAGTATTTCTTTACAGCAATGCAAGAACGGTCTAATAGAGTTCTAAGTGCATCCTTTCTAAAAAATATTTCAATGCATATTAAGCAATTTATAGTTATAATGGCCTCCACCAGCATTTCCTAGCTTCTTCAGAAATCTGACTGCAGAACATCCTCCATTTCAACTGATTTTAGTTCAGCACCAAATCCAGATATAAAAATATTATCTACTCAAATTTAAGTACATCTTTAATATTTTGCATAATAGAACAATACAGCAGGAAAGACTACTAAGGTAATTTAGTCTAATACACTCTACTTAGTATAAAGAAATTTGTTCAGAGAGGTTCAGGTGACACCTATGGTCATATAGTTAGACAGAAACAGAGCAAGGGCTAAAAGTCAGATCTCTTTACTCCCTGTGCAGTGTTTCTACTCCATGTTTGCAAATGAGCTGCTGTCTAGTTTCATATAACTTGATAATCTGCCAGGGTAATTTTCAAATCAAGTTTTTATTACCAAAAGGAAATTACCTAGTCAAGGAATGTTCACTGTCTGGGACGAAAGGTAGATCAATTGTTGCAAACAGTCATTTATCTACTCATGTTGGTTGTTTTGACTCACCTAATGGGTAACATTAAGAATGAGGGACCATGTATGGATTCCTAGAAGAATATATCCCAATCCAGAAATACTTAAAGAAACTGTCCCATCAAACTGTCCTTAGGACAATATGAAATTTAAATGAATTTAACTATAACTTCAAAATGGAATATCCTAATTTTGCAATTCTAGTTTAGTGTTTAAAACTCATTCCTCTTTAGATGGTAATCAAAAACTCAGAATTTAGATTGTAAAAGTTTATTGATATGGTCAAAAAGCAAACAGCCAGACATTTGGTTATCTTTGCCACTACAATGTGTCTTTCTGAATTGTATCTTAAAAATGCATAACAAATGATATTTAAACCATTACTAGAAAAGTAAATGAAGAGTCTACTTAAGGCACTTCATATGAAAGCTAATTCAAAATTTTCACAAAAGTAACACTATTTTATAAGTGTAGTAAATTAGCTTTCCACACATTTTAGCCAGAATGCTGCCTTTCTCCTTACAGAAGAATGTGCTCTTAAAGGGAGAAAAAGCAAATACAAAAAACTGTCATTCTGTCAATGTTCATGTCAAATTATCTGGAACTATACAGATTACATGGCAGTAGTATTCCTGTGGTGAATCTGTACAAATCAGGGCATCTTCATACAAGTCTCATAAGAACCATAGCATAGATTTGGCCTGAGACAAGTACAAGAATAGCAGGTAAGGAATTCAGAATCTCACAATTTACAGGTGAGTAATTAACAAAAAGTGGCTGCTCCATTAAAGAGTAAAAGGTCAACCATATCCCCTCATCCATGAAATCTAGTAAGGAAAAACAAAAAAACCCACATAAAATATTTCTTCTAAGGCTACTATATCCATCTCTTTCTGCAAACCACATGGCAGGGTTATTAGAAGGTAAATAGCAGGTGGCAGTCATAGTATCTTTTTAATGTAATACTTGTAAGATTTCCTTAAAATTATTTTTTCACAATTACAATTATCCTATTTCCACAACAGTGGCATTTCAGGTTACTCTTCACAACTATGGGGAGGTTATAGTTAGATATAATGATAACCATGAAAACATTCTTCACAGAAATTTGGTTAGCACATATGGTTACTTCCACCGACAAAAAAAAAAAAAGACAAAATTTAAAAAAAATCCCTTCAAATTTGTACTTTGTTTCTCCACCTAAAGGAAGAGAATAAAGACAAAATAACAGCAAAACACAGAACAGCTTTCGAGAAACGCTTAATTTCTATATACAGGCAACATCTCAGTATTTTATGATTTTCCTTTCCCATTCTAAGGGAGTCCTTTTCTTTCTTTTTTTTTGAGATGGAGTTTCGCTCTATTGCCAGGCTGGAGTGCAGTGGTGTGATCTTGGCTCACTGCAACTTCCATCTCCTGAGTTCAAGTGATTCTCGTGCCTCAGCCTCCCATGTAGCTGGGATTACAGGTGCCCACCACCACACCCAGCTAATTTTTGTACTTTTAGTAGAGATGGGGTCTCACCATGTTGGCCAGGATAGTCTCGAACTTCTGACCTCATGATCCGCCTGCCTCAGCCTCCCAAAGTGCTGAGATTACAGGCGTAAGCCACCACACCCGGCCAGGGAGTCCTTTTCTAACTGAGCCTATTTTTCTCTTAGGTACAAATGGAATAAGTGACAAACTCTAATTTGCAGAAACATTTTAGACCATGTATAAGTCACACCGATTTTAGCACTAAGTTATATTTTTATCACAGATGGGTCACCTTAAAAGAAAACTAAGGAGATGGGATGAATCTGAAATCTTTCTAAATACAAGGTAGTTAACACCATACTCAAGCAGAAATCATAATCCTGTATTTAGAGATACTTTTTTTTTTTTTGAGACAGAATCTCACTCTGTCACTCAGGCTGGAGTGCAGTAGCATGATTTTGGCTCACTGCAATCTCCGCCTCCCAGGTTTAAGCAAGTCTCGTGCCTCAGCCTCCCAAGTAGCTAGGATTACAGGCATGAGCCACCAAGCCCAGCTAATTTTCATATTTTTAGTAGAGACGGGGTTTTGCCTTGTTGGCCAGGCTGGTCTCTAACTCTTGGCCTCAAGCAATCCACCTGCCTTGGCCTCCCAATAGATGTCCTTTTTCATGTTCACAGCTATCGAGAAGTATAGACATTGTTGGTGTGGTAGCTCACACATGTCATCCTCGCACTTTGGGAGACTGAGGTGGGCAGATCACTTGAGCCCAGGAGTTCAAAACCAGCCCGAACAACTTGGCGAAACCCTGTCTCTACTAAAAATCCAAAAATTAGCCTGACATGGTGGTGCACACCTGTAAATCCCAGCTACTTGGGAAGCTGAGGCAGGAGAATCGCTTAAACCTGGGAGGCAGAGTTTGCAGTCAGCCGAGCTCACGCCACTGCACTTCAACCTGTGTGACACAGCGAGACCCTGTCTCAAAAAAACAACAAAACAAAACAAAACAAAAAATCACAGCACTGTATTTCAGTAGGAAATAGGCAAGGAGGAGGAGAAATGACTGTCTTTTCGAGGGCTAGACGTGTGCTCTAAAGAATGGTGTTCCATTTTCAGAAGACCACATGGCACATATAATTTCTCTACCCAAAAGGAAAGATGCGTAAAGTATACACATCCACGCAAAGATGGAAAAGCTAAGAATGAATTCCTGATGTAGTTACCTGTAACAGGCATATGTGGGAACACCTGGTCAGGACTTACTTTCCCCATCTTTGGATAAGGCAATATAAAATCAGATGACCAAGTTAACTGAAGTAGTTTTGAGCTTTGTGCTAACTAAAACAAAGTAGTAGTTTTACAGTTTTTATAATATACTTAATTCTACTAAATTAAATGTTCCATAAAGTTCACTGGGAAGAGAAGGTTAAGAGGATAATCATTTTCAAATACCTAATGATTTTGACAGAGAATTGTTTGTTAAGGCACTACACATCTTCTTTGGTTAAATGATTAACTATTTAAATCACTTGAAAAAAAGAGGTAATACAAAATACACAAGTTGCATTCTTCTTTTCAAACACACACAGTTTTCATTTTTCAATTTCCAGTACTCCAGTGTCAACATATCTCTGGGACCTTTTTAACTCATCAGAAAGCTGAAACAAAAATATATACCAATCTATTAGTCTCTCAAAGAAAAGTAGGCTTTACTTTTAATCAATAAGCAGTATGTTGGTTTTAACAGATAAAAGAGCATTTTGGTACGTACGAGATAATCTTTGGGTATCAATAACAAAAAGTGAGAAACACTGAGAGACCCATTAGTCTTATGACAAAACGAAATAGAACAACCCTCAAGCTAAACTATCTCCCGAAAAGAGACATTAACTAATATTTTTTTGTTTTTTTAGAGATGGGGTCTCACTATGTTGCCCAGTCTGGTCTGGGACTCCTAGGCTCAAGTGATCATCCTGCCTTAGCCTTCTGAGTAGCTGGGACTACAGGCACACAACACTGCTACTGAATCAACGCTGCTGATCAAATAATTAACAGAAGTCCCAGCAAAATTACCCTCACATCCCAATTAGTATTCTGTAGAGGATAAATTATTATAATTATTATTTTTGAGATGGGGTCTCACTCTATTACTCAGACTGGAGTGCAGTGGCACTCTATTTCTTAAAAAAAGTAGAGGTGAGAAGTTTTTAAAAACATTTAAAAAAATCATTTCTTCTTCAAAAGGAAGTATAGTATACAGACAAGGAGCTATGTGAATAAATAATGGCATAAAATGTTCTAATCATTATGTATTATAGAGATATCTAGAATCAACTAGGTATGGCAAAATAAACCTAAAAGATGTTCCTGAGAAATCACATACTAATATTGTCCATTATACTATAATTAATTTTTATATAGAACATATCTGAATTACAGCTGTCTGGGCATGGTGGCTGGCTAATGCCTATAATCCCAGCCCTCTGGGAGGCTGAGCAGGAGAACCGCTTGAGGCCAGAAGTTCAAGACCAGCCTGGATAACATAGCAAGACCCTGTCTTTACAAAAAATAAAAATATTAGCTGGGTGTAGTCATGTGCAACTGTAGTCCTAGCCTCTTGGGAAGCTGAGGTGAAATGATGGCTTGAGCTCAGGAGTTCAAGGTTACAATGAGCTATGAACACACCATTACACTTCGGCCTGAGTGACAGAGTGAGACCCTGTCTCTGAAAATAAATGAATAGGCCGGGCTCAGTGGCTCGCGCCTATAATCCCAGCACTTTGGAAGGATGAGGCAGGTGGATCACTTGAGGTCAGGAGTTCGAGACCTGATCAACATGGTGAAACCCTGTTGATACTAAAAATACAAAATTAGCCGGGTATGGTGGCACACGCCTGTAATCTCAGCTACTTGGTAGGCTGAGGCAGGAGAATCGCTTGAACCCGGGAAGCAGAGGTTGTAGTGAGTCGAGATTGCGCCATTGCACTCCAGTCTGGGCAACAAGAACAAAACTCCATCTCAAAAATAAATAAATATTAAAAAAATAGATGAAGAGAAGATAAAATAGTTTGGAAGCAAAGCAAAAAGAACAATATTATAAAGCAATATCAACTCTAATCATTCCAAGTATTGGTAATCACTAAATAAATAAAAAAGAAGAATCATACCTGTATGGGTAGCCATGATATTTAGATCTAAAAATAGAGAGCATCCAACTGAAGAATAATACAACGAGTCCAATACCAGCCACACACATTACTGCAGAAAAATAAAAGGAGAGTAAAATGAGCAGGTTGAATATAATAAATAACCAGGGCAGTCTACACTTTCAGAGAGTGAAAAGGAAGGGGTATACATTATTGATAAATCTAAACTTTTCAACAATTTTCATCGCCATTTCTTGATCTTCAGGAATCTGCCTTCCTCTTTAATTTGCTCCATTACAATGTAATAGAGTAACTCCTTCACATAATTATGCAATTCAAATGTATGGAATAATGAATTCCTTTAAAGCCATCACACTGAAGGGTTTACTGTTAGAAACACTGTCTTACTATTGACAAGAAAATCACCCATTTTGTTTTTTGGGTTTTTTTTTTTTTTTTTTTTGAGACAGGGTCTTGCTCTGTTGCCCAGGCTGAAGTGCAGTGGCACAATCACAGCTCACTGCAGTCTCAACCTCCTGGGCTCAAGCACTCCTCCCACTATAGCCTCTCGAGTAGCTGGGACTACAGATGTGTGCCACCATGCCTAGCTAATTTTTTAATTTTTTTGAGAAAATGGTCTCACTACATTGCCCAGGCTGGTGTTGATTTCCTGGGCTCAAGTGATCTTCCTGCTTCAGCCTCCCAAAGAGCTGGGATTACAGGCATAAACCACTGTGCCTGGCTTACTTATTTATTGAACTTTAAAACCCCTAAAAGTGGCCTTGTAGTATTATTGATAAATATTAACTTAAACATCTGATGACTTCACTGTGATAGCCTCACTTGAAAGTACTTTATTCACGCACAGGTAACTACACAGCCTTATATTATGTAACTCAATCAACATGGATTTCTTATTTGAATAATGAGAAAAAAAAATCTGATCCCAAACCCTAGATTCATAGCTCTCTCCACTAATCCCACATGTCATGTTCTACATTAGCACAGCAGTTATTAAAGTGAACTACAAATACTAATCCCCAAATGCTCAAGTATGGATTGCCATGACGTGAGGCTCTTTGACTCCCTGGACTAAAAATGGCTAAGAAATATAGAGATAGGGATGTAGGAAAGCATGTGTCCAACAGCAAAGGAAGCTCCAGGGCAGGGGTGTCCAATCTTTTGGCTTCCCAGGGCCGCACTGGAAGAAGAGCTGTCCTGGGCCACACACAAAATACACTAATACTAATGAAAACTGATGAGCTGCAAAAAAAAAAAAAAAAAAAAATCGCAAAAAAAACCACCTCATAATGTTTTAGGGAAGTTTACAAATTTGTGTTGGGCCGCATGTGGCCCACAGACTGGACGAGCTTGTTCTAGGGAAACTTACTTAGTGAATGATAAGAAAATCAACTTTCGGTCGGGTGCTGTGGCTCACGCCTGTAATTCCAGCACTTTGGGAGGCCGAGGCAGGTGGATCACGAGGTCAGGAGTTCAAGACCAGCCTGGCCAAGATGATGAAGCCCTGTCTCTACTAAAAACTACGAAAAAAATTAACCAGGCATGGTGGCAGGCACCTGTAATCCCAGCTACTTGGGAGGCTGATGCAGCAGAATCGCTTGAACCTGGGCGGCAAAGCTCCAGACTGGGCGAAAAAGTGAGACTATGTCTCAAAAAAAAAAAAAAAAAAAAGAAAAAAAAAAAAAGAAAAGAAAAGAAAATCAACTTTCAGTTTTGTTTTACTTATGGAACAATTCTTTTGCCTTCTCTAATTTTCACACAATATGACTAGGGGCTAATGTGTAAATGTTAAACAATATTTCTCTTTAATTCTTTTCCCATTTACAAAAAAGAAGTGCAGCTTGCTGCCAATGCTCATTTAATTTTACATAATCATGCTCTTTGAGGCCGAAGTAAATCTGATTTTCAATGTTAAAACAGAAAAACTGTTGTTGGAGTTATTACTAAACAGAACATCAGAATCATCTGAATCATCAGAATTGTCTATTTCAGAAAAATTGAATTCATCAAATGAATCTCTGGCCAACAACTGTTCGAGAATGGTGTAAACATTACACGTGGAATGCTACATTTTCTAGGATTTGACATTTTCAGTGATCAATAATTACTGTATTTTATAAATGGAAATACCACTATAATAGAAATACAAATGGAATGATATCTAGTATATTACTCTATTTACAGCAATCTGTTTTCAGTAGTGGTAGTGGATCACTTGAACCCAGTGATATCTGACATATCAATTTTATTTCCAAAGTTGATATACTAGAGTGGATGTGAAAATAATAATTAAAGCAAGATATTTTGTGGCAGAATTATCTCAGGGTAAACACTGCAGCCACAAGCACTGCTGGTGAGTATTCTCAGGGCAAATGGGAAAAGGGTTAACTTAACCAAAGAAGTGAAAGAACTCTATGATGAAAACTATAAAACACTACTGAAAGAAATTGAAGAGGACATCAAAAAATGGAAAGATGTTCCATGTTCATGGACTGGAAGAATTGATGTTGTTAAGATGTCCATACTATCCAAAGCAATCTACAGATTCAATGCAATCCCTATCAAAATACCAATGACAACTTCACAGAAATAGAAAAAATAAAATTTATATGAAATCACAAAAGACCAATAGTCAAAGTGATCCTAAGCAAAAAGAACAAAACTGGAGGAATCATATTACTTGACTTCAAATTATACTATAGAGTTACAGTAACCAAAACAGCATGGTACTGGCATAAAAACAGACATACAGACCAATGGGACAGGAGAGAGAACTCAGAAACAAACCCATACACCTACAGTGAACTCATTTTCGACAAAGGTGCCAAGAACATACACTGGGGAAAACACAGTCTCTTCAATAAAAGGTGCCAGGAGAACTGGATATCCATAGGCAGAACAAAACTAGACCCCTATCTCTTGCCATATAGAAAAATCAAGTCAAAATGGATTAAAGACTTAAATCTAAGACTGTAAACCATATATATATAATATATATTTATTTATATATTTATATATATATATTTAAAGACAGATTCTTGCTCTGTTGCTCAGGCTGGAGTGCAGTGGCATGATCTTGGCTCACTGCAACGTCCACTTCCTGGGTCAAGCGATCCTCCTGCCTCAGCCTCCCAAGTAGCTGGGACTACAGGCACACGCTAATTTTTGTATTTTTAGTAGAGACAGGGTTTCACCATGTTGGCCAGGCTGGTCTCAAACTCCTGGCCTCAAGTGATCTGCCCGCCTTGGCCTCCCAAAGCGTTGGGATTACAGGCAATCTACACATTGTCCAGCCTAAGATTGCAAACTATTAATATGAAACAACTACAAGAAAATATTGGGGAAACTCTCCAGGACATTAGTCTGGGAAAAAATTCCTTGAATAACACCCCAGAAGCACAGGCAACCAAAGCAAAAATGGACAAATGAGATCACATCAAGTTTAAAAGCTGCTGCAGAGCAAAGGATACAATCAACAAAGTGAGGAGTCAATCCACAGAATGGGAGAAAATATTTGCACAGTATCCATCTGACAAGGGGTTAATAACCAGAATATAAAAGGAGCTCAAACAACTCTACAGGAAAAAAATCTAATAACCTGATAAAAAAAAAAAAAAACAGAAAATAATTCAATAGACGTTTCTCAAAAGAAGACATACAAATGGCAAATAGGCATAAAAAAGCTACTCAACATCACTGATCATCAGAGAAATGCAAATAAAAACTGCAATGAGATATCTATCATCTCACCCCAGCTAAAATGGCTTATATCCAAAAGACAAGCAATAATAAATGCTGGTGAGGATGTGGAAAAAAGGGAACCCTTGTACACCATTGGTGGGAATGTAAGTTAGTACAACCGCTAAGGAGAACAGTTTGGAGGTTCCTCAAAAAACTAAAAATTGAGCTACCATATGATCCAGCAATCCCACTACTTGGGTATATACCCATAGAAAAATAAATCAGTATACCAAAGAGATATCTGTACTCCCATATTTGTTGCAGCACTGTTCCCAATAGCCAACATTTTGAAGCAACCTAAGTGTCCATCAATAGATGAACGGATAAAGAAAACGTGGTACATATATAAAATGGAGTACTATTCAGTCATAAAAAAATAAGATCCTGTCACGTGCAATAACAGGGAACTGGAAATTATTATTATTACTGAGATGGAGTCTCGTTCTGTCACCCAGGCTGGAGTGCAGTGGCACCAGCTCATCTTACTGCAACTTCTGCCTTCCAGGTTCAAACAATTCTCCTGCCTCAGCCTCCCAAGTAGCTGGGATTACAGGCATGCACCACTACGCCCAGCTAATCTTTGTATTTTAGTAGATACGGGGTTTTACCACGTTGGCCAGGGTAGTCTAGAACTTCTGACCTCAAATAATCTGCCCACCTTGGTCTCCCAAAGTGCTGGGATTACAGGAGTGAGCCACCATGCCCAGCCTTGGAAATCATTAAGTGAAATAATTCAGGTACAGAAAAAAAAAAAATCACATGTTCTCACTTATTTGTGGGATCAAAAAATCAAAACAATTGAACTCATGGACACAGAGAGTAGAAGGATGGCTACCAGAGGCTGGGAAGGGTAGTTGGGGAATGCCGGGGGAGGTACGAATGGCTAATGTGTACAAAAAAAAAAAGAATAAATAAGACCTACTATTTGATAGCACAACAGGATAACTACAGTCAATAAAAATTTAATTGTACATTTTGAAATAACTAAAAAAGTATAATTGGATTGTTTATGACACAAAGGGTAAATACTTGAAGAATGGATACCGCAGTCTCCGTGATGTGACTATTACACATTGCATGACTATATCAAAACATCTCATGTACTCCATAAATATATACACCTAGTATGTACCCACAAAAATTAAAATATTTTTTCTGAGTATTAACACATGCTCAGTGTAGACAAGTTAGCCTTTTATTCTCTAAGAAAATGTACTCATAGACTGGGTGTGATAGCTCATGCCTGTAAATCACAGCATTTGGGGAGGCCAAGGCAGAAGGATTGCTTGAGCCCAGGAGTTCAAGACCAGCCTGGACAATGTAGCGAGGCCCCATTTCTACCAAAAATTACCCAGGTGTGGTGGTGCATGCCTGTAGTCCCACCAGTAGGGAGGCTGAGGTGGGAGGATCACCTGAGCCAGGGAGGTCAAAGCTGCAGTGAGTTATGATCTCTCCACAGCACTCCAGCATGGGCGACAGAGTGAGACCCTGTCTCAAATTTAAAAAAAAGAAAAAGAAAATGTGCACATACATATATATAGCATCACTCTGTATATATTTGTATCCTCCTCTTTTCATACATCTAAAAGTGCTTAGAGCAGTTCCCAGAACATGCTAAAGAAACATCTATTAATTTGTGATCATTTTGTTAGGTAAGAAATTTAGATCAAATTGTCACTATTTCAGTATATGTTGCCAAAGTGTTTAACAATTTAAGTTCATGTCAGCAGTGTACTTTGATGGCCTTTTCCCAAGAATAAACACTGAAACAGGCAATTTTTTAAAAGTCAGGCAGAGTCTACAGCCATAGCACCCTGAATGCGCCTGATCTCGTAAAAAGTCAGGCAATGAAAGGATGTATACTGACTGGATTAAAAACTGATAGTCTTGCTTTGGCAGCATATATACTAAAACTGGAATCATACAGAGAAGATTAGCATGGCCCCTGTGCAAGGATGACATGCAAATTCGTGAAGTGTTCCATATTTAAAAAAAAAAATTTAAAAACTGATATTTTTCTAATATGTAAAAATTCATTAATTTATGCTTTTAGAGATTGAGTCTCGCTCTGCTGCCCAGACTGAAGTGCAGTGGTGTGATCATAGCTCACTGACCTCAAGCCATCCTCCTGTACCAGCCTCACAAGTAGCTGGGATACAAGTGTGTGGCACCACATCCAGCTAAAAAAAAATTATTTTAATTGAGCAAAACAAGTACTTCTCAAATTTGAAGTTCAGCATCTTCATCTTTTTTCTAGAAGTTAAAGTAAATATTAGACTTTATTTAGGTAGGGTAATTTTGATGACATTTAACATTTTTATTTTTATTTTTTTGAGATGAAGTCTCGCTCTGTCACCCAGGCTGGAGTGCAGTAGTGCTATCTTGGCTCACTGCAACTTCCACTTCCTGGGTTCAAGCGATTCTCATGCCTCAACCTCCCGAGTAGCTGGGATTACAGGTGCATGACACCATGCCTGGCTAATTTTTGCTTTTTTAGAGATGGGGTTTCGCCATGATGGCCAGGCTGGTCTCAAACTCCTGACCTCAGGTGATCCACCCGCCTCGGCCTCCCAAAGTGCTGGGATTTACAGGTGTGAGCCACCATGCCTGGTTGACATTTAACTTTTTAATCATAAAAGGAAAATCTTGACTTATACTTATTTCAAGAAAGTAAAACCAAATTACATTGTTAGCTTCTCTCTGTAACAGACAACAATGTGTGAATATTCTAATATATAAAAAGTTCATGCAGGCTGGGCATGGTGGTTCATGCCTGTAATCTTAGTACTTTGGGAGGCCGAAGTGGGAAAGGTTGCTTGAGCACAGGAGATACAGACCAGCCTGGGCAACAAAGTGAGACCCCCATCTCTACAAAAAATAAAATGAAATTAAGTGGGAGTGGTAGCATGAGCCTGTGGTCATAGCTACCTGGGAAGCTGAGGCAGTAGGATTGTTTGAGCCCGGGAGTTCGACGCTACAGTGAGTCATTATTGCGGCACTGCACTCCAGCCTGGGCAACAGAGTAAGGTCTTGCCTTGAAAAAAAAAAAAAAAAAAATGTCTGGCCGGGCAGGGTGGCTCACGCCTGTAATCCCAGCACTTTAGGAGGCCGAGGCAGGCAGATATGAGGTCAGGAGTTCGAGACCAGCCTGGCTAACATGGTGAAATCCCATCTCTACTAAAAATACAAAAATTAGCTGGGCGTGGTGGCGCATGCACCTGTAATCCCAGCTACATGGGAGGCTGAGGCAGGAGAACTGCTTAAACCCGGGAGGCGGAGGTTGCAGTAAGTCAAGATCGCACCACTGCACTCCAGCCTGGGAGACAGAGCAAGACTCCGTCTCGAAAATTAAAAAAAAAAATTCCTTGCAAACCAAATAAAAGGGCTAAGACTCTAACAGATAAATGGAAAAGATAAAAGGACAATTTATAGAAGGAAAAATATAAACACAAATGACTAATAAACATTTAGGAAAATATTTGACCTTATAACAATAAAAGTAGTACAAAATAATATATTTCCACCTTATCTGATTAGCAAATCTATATGTATCTATAAAACAGATACATATTTATGAGATTAATGTTGATAAAATTACAATGAAACGGCCGGCATGGTGGCCCATGACTGTAATCCCAGCACTTTGGGAGACTGAGACGGGCGGATCACAAGGTCAGGAGATCGAGACCATCCTGGATAACACGGTGCAACTCTGTCTCTACTAAAAATACAAAAAATTAGCCGGGCATGGTAGCGGGCGCCTGTAGTCCCAGCTACTTGTGGGAGGCTGAGGCAGGAGAATGGCATGAACCCGGGAGGCAGAGCTTGCAGTGAACCGAGATCGCACCACTGCACTCCAGCCTGGGCGACAAGTGTTTTGAGACTCTTGTCTCAAAAAAAAAAAAAAAAAAAAGAAACATTATTATTCTTCTTTATTATTATTAATTTTTAAGATGAAGTTTCACTCTTGTAGCCCAGGCTGGAGTGCAATGGCGCGATTCCAGCTCACTGCAACCTCCGCCTCCCAGGTTCAAGTGATTCTCCTGCCTTGCCTCCCAAGTAACTGGGATTACAGGTATGCGCCACAATGCCTGGCTAATTTTTTTTTGTTGTTTGCTGTTTGAGATGGAGTCTTGCTTTGTCACCCAGGCGGGAGTGCAATGGTGCGATCTTGGCTCACTGCAACCTCCACCTCCTGGGTTCAAGCGATTCTCCTGCCTCAGCCTCCTAAGTAGCTGAGATTAACACGCACATGCCACCACGCCTGGCTAATTTTTGTATTTTTAGTAGAGACGGGGGTTTCACCAGGTTGGCCAGGCTGGTCTCGAACTCCTGAACTCATGATCCACCCGCCTTGGCCTCCCAAAGTGCTGGGATTACAGGCGTGAGCCACCGTGCCTGGCCAAATTTTTGTACTTTTAGTAGAGACGGGGTTTCACCATGGCTTTTGTTGTTTTTTTTTTGTTTTGTTTTGAGACAGAGTCGCTCTGTCGCCCAGGCTAGAGTGCAGTGGCAAGATCTCAGCTTACTGCAAGCTCCGCCTCCCGGGTTCACACCATTCTCCTGCCTCAACTTCCCAAGCAGCTGGGACTACAGGTGCCTGCCATTACGCCCGGCTAATTTTTTTTTGTATTTTTAGTAGAGATGGGGTTTCACCATGGTCTCGATCTCCTGACCTCGTGATCCACCAGCCTCAGCCTCTCAAAGTGCTGGGGTTACAGGCATGAGTCACCATGCCCGGCAAGGTTTCAGCATGTTGATCAGGCTTGATGGCCTCAAACTCCTGACCTCAAGTGATCCACCCGCCTCGGCCTCCCAAAGTGCTGGGATTACAGGCATAAGCCACTGTGCCCGGCTGAAACAAACATTCTTAAATACCAGTAGTAGAAATCTAAATTATTTTAACTTGCCAAAGTAATCTCTAATGATTAAAACATCAAGAGAATTGAAAATAGACAGAGGATCACACAGTTATTCTTCTTCTAGGAATCTACCTGAAGGAAACAACGTAAAATAAGAATGATGGCTGGGCTCGGTGGCTCATGCCTGTAATCCCAGCACTTCGGGAGGCCGAGGCGAGTGGATCACCTGAGGTCGGGAGTTTGAGACCAGCGTGGCCAACATGGTGAAACACCATCTCTATGAAAACTACAAAAAACAAAAAACAAACAAACAAAAAAAGCACAAAACCAAAAAACAAAAAAACTAGCTGGGCGTGGTGGTTGGTGCCTGTAATCCCAGCTACTCAGGAGGCTGAGGCAGGACAATCTCTTGAACCTGGGAGGCAGAGGATGCAGTGAGCCGAGATGGCACCACTGCATTCCAGCCTGGGTAATAAGAGCGAAACTCCATCTCAAAAAAAAATAAAAAATAAAAATAAAAGATGCTTAATGTATCATGATAGTTACGGAAGAATAATTATAATTGAAATTAGGAAAAAACTAAACATTGAAAAAAATTGGAATACTTAAATTACAATATAGAGTATAAGTCGGCCAGGCACGGCAGCTCACGCATGTAATTCCAACACTTTGGGAGGCTGAGGTGGGAAGATCACTTGAGTCCAGGGGTTTGAGGCCAGCCTGGGCAAAGTGGCAAAACCCCATCACTACAAAAAGTACAAAATATTAGCTGGGCATGGTAGCACGTGCCTGTAGTCCCAGCTATTACGGAAGTTGAGGTGTGAGGACAGCTTGAGCCTAGGGGCGGAGGTTACAGTGAGCTATGATTATGCCACTGCACTCCAGCCTGAGTGACAGAGTGGGACCCTGTCTTAAAGAAAACAAACAAAAACAGAGTATAAGTTTAAAATTACGTATATAGAAAAAGTTATTAGTTATTTAACTCCAGTTTAAAAGGGGGGTGTGAAGTGTCAAAATTTTATATATATAGTTTTTAAGATGTTTTTATAAGTGCAAAGAAATATATTTCAGTTTACAAATAATTAGTTTTTCAGTGGTGGAATAAATGCTTCATGCTTCTGTTTTTTTTTTTTTTTTTTTTTTTTTTTTTTTACATTTTCTATAGAGCATATACTACTTTTATAATAGTAAAGGGATTTAATAACAGACACGACATTTAAAGAAAAAATAGTAAAGGGGTAAAATAACCTACTTATCCTATAGGTAAGAGGAAAAGTGATTAAGAGATCACTCTTTTTCCATATTACAGGCAGCACTGTTACATTTTGAGTAAGGTGACTTACTCTTTCGCTTTCCAATATCCATGTCAGAGGTAGCAGCTTCACATAAAAGCACCATTCCTAAGGTAACTCCACCATCTTAGAAAAATTGTTTAAGGAGAAATTCGCACAGACATAAAAGACATCCCATTTTACCATTTCCAATTTCTCATGAAGAAAATTAAAATTAATATATAAACCTTCAACTCTTCATTATAAAAAACCAAAACAAGGAATCTTGTATCTATACAGCATGACGATTATTTCCTCTGAAGATATAAAAAATTAAAATTGGAAGATCACTTCATTTGCACAAAGAAAAACTGATACTTTAAACAAATGTCCCACCATAACTTACAGATGAAATATGAGTTTTCCCAAAATTGTACTTTGAAATAACCTGTCTGGACATTCAGTTATTGCCCTGACCTCAAACACATTTAAAAATATTAAATATTGCCGGGCGCAGTGGCTCAAGCCTGTAATCCCA